CATAACATGCACTATTGGTCACAGGACAACCCTCACTGAATTAGAGAAACCAATTTCCAAACAATGTGGGGTGTGAACGTGTGGTGTGGTTTACATAATGGACGACTCATCGGGCCCCATTTTTTCCAAGACACTTTGACGGGCCACCGATATTTACATTTCTTGGAAAATTGTTTACCTGCCCTCCTGGAAGATATTCCACTTGAAGAACGACAACAAATGTGGTGGCAACAAGATGGTGCTCCTGCACATAACCATAATGTAGTTACTACATTCCTCAATGATACTTTTCGAGACCGTTGGATTGGAAATAGTGGACCTGTACGATGGCCTGCACGTTCTCCAGATCTCACGCCACTGGACTTTTTCCTGTGGGGATATCTGAAACGAGTTGCCTTCGAAACACAACCAATGAATATTGACGATTTAACCCAAAAAATTTTAGAGGCTTGTCATACCGTTACTCCGGAAATGATTAGGGCTTCCTGTACTCGCGCGCTGATTCGGCGACTTGAAGCATGTGTGGCAAGTGCTGGCCAACATTTTGAACATTTTCTGTAGTATCATGTATCAAAATACAGATGACCTTAAACATTAATATTTCATTTGTTTTTTTATTTTCTATGATTCTGCATGTCATTCTACCTACCATGATACATCATTGACCGAGAAATGAAAAAGACTGTAAGTTGAACCAAAACAAACATGGGCGTGCCATTTGAAAAAACAAAAGTTAGGGGTGGTTTCTTGGGGGTTGTTTACCAGGGGGTGAATTTTGCTATGCTGCATGAAAGTGCTTGTGTTCTCCTATGATACATATTTTTGTTTTAATTTTTGTTCTGCAGGTAACTGAGATATCTGCTGACCTAAAAGCTCTGGGACACCCGGTATACAGTGTATAAACGCCAATTGGAATGAATACATTATTTCGGTTACTGTACATATTTACAGAAATAATTTGACATTCTTCACGTAAAAAATGCCACCCCTATCTTCAACCCCCCTTCGAAATGACAGGGGGCATTTTTACATTGAAGAATGTCGCATTATAATTTAAATTTGACATGTTCCCGAATTTTTTCAATTATGTGCAGTTACCGTATATGTGAAGTAATTAGTATTTTAAAATTTCACTCATTTCAGGAGGTTCATGGATTTCAGCAGGAAAATAATGATTCTCAAAAACAATCTACTCCACAGAATAAAAAACCAAAAATGAACAAAAAACCATTTGAAAGTGCAGAACAAAATGTAATAAAAGATGTCTGTAAAGCACTTAATGATATAACTAATGCTATAAAATCTGCATCACAAAACACTAATTCTGCTGAAGATATGTATGGCAAACTTGTTGCTGAACGTTTGAAATCCATCACAGATCGCAGAAAAAGAGTGAGGGCACAACAAAACATCGATGCCATTTTATATCAGTACCTCATTGATGACTGATTCATTGAAATCCATTGATTATAATTTTAATCAACGAATGTGATGAATAGTATCTGTAGAAATTATAGTTTTTATTTTTTGTTATAGATTCTAAATTTTAAAGAACCATTTGATGGATAGGTATTATGTATTTTAGTCATTTTGTTTTGTTTTTGGAGATTTTGTAAATAAAGTATTTGAAACGAAATCAATGAACTTTAATGAATAATATCAAGTACATGTAATGAAAAAGTATAAGGAAACTGTGTTGGTTTCCATAAATTGTCTGCTCATGCTATGTCAATGGTTATATTTATTTATTGCATCTATCTGCCAAGGTACTGCTCCTTCAGACATAAAATAAGCCATGAATTCATCCCTCATATGCTGAGCAAGTTTAGCTGACCTATTTCCTCCTTGGTGATTTTGTAGACCTTGCATTCTCTTTAAAGTGACTTTTAAAAAATCCTCATTACAATTATCGGTAATTGATGTTTTGATCAGATAATTATGTAAACAGCAACAAGCAAGTGTGATTATTTCAACTTTATCTGGATTCAAAGTAATTGTTGATAATATTCTAAACCGATTACTAAGGATCCCAAAAGCGTTCTCCACTACCCTACGAGCTTGAGATATTCGTTAGTTGAAAATACGCTGCTCAGTTGAAGCATTCCTAAAGGGAAATGGTTTCAGAATTCTTCTTGTCAAAGGGAAAGCATCATCTCCAACTATGGTATAGGCGATAGGAATATTTCGCCCTGGTAGTGTTTGGTCTGGAGGAGAGTTTAATTTATTAGTTTTCATCAATCTGCATAAAGAACTATCCCTAAATACTCCACCATCACTAATGCGACCATTTACACCAACATCCACATAGGTAAATGAATAGTTCGCATGAACCAGTGATAGCAAAACAATGCTATGATTTCCTTTATAATTATAATAAAAGGAACCAGCACTTCTTGGTGGTCTGCAGTTTATATGTTTTCAATCCAATGTACCTAGGCACATTGGAAAATTCCACTTTATATGGAACTCGTCAGCCACTTCTTTCCATTCATCTGATGTAGAAGAACATTTCAAATACTCTTCTCTCAACCTTGAGTAGATAGCTTGACAAACTTCTGGAATAATTTTACTTATAATACTTTCATGTATACGAGATGCATACATCAATGAACGATAAGTCTACCCAGTTGCCAAGTATCGAAGAGTTATAGTCAGTGTGAAAATTTAAAAATTAAAATCTAAACATAACAGAATTTGTCAAACGAACCTCTCTTCTGCTGAAATACATTCTCTCTTAGTTGTATCCTTTTTAGAAATTGTATCTTTAATTTTGTCCAATAGAAAAGTGAACTGTTCTTCATTCATTCTCATAAAATTCGTATATGATACAGGATCTTCAGTAAGGAGTTCATTTTTCAGCAAGTTGAGAACTCCTCGTCCCTCATTCCTCTTTTGCAGCCATTCTCGAGACCAAAGTTTCTTCTCCTTTTCCCATTTTTTTTTTTCAAAATAAATAATCTGAGAGTAGTAATAACTACTGCCGAACTACATATCATTAGATATTGTTGAAAGGAGACCATTATTTTTAAGTATACCATGTACAATATTATTCCTAACCTTACTTTGATTTTACTATGACATAAGTGTCTATGATTTGACATTTGAATGGGATTCTTTGGACATGTCACTGGTGAGAATATCTTGTATAATGTCACACAGCATATATTTCCGCACATCAAATCATCCATTTTATTACTGATATATTCCTGACTACAAAATTGATTCATTTTATGAGTGAAAAATTAAACCGTGTCATACGGGTTAAGTGTACCTTTTGATTTGTATTATTGGCTTGTTGGACCATATTTTTGAAAAAAAGCGTAAATTGTTGAGGGTATGTTGTACCTTCGTTTCAAATAACTTTAGTATTTTCTACCTATGATTATTATTTCTATATAAATCCTACCATCTGAGTTAACCCCCAACTTGGGAGCCATTTGGGCCGCGACAATATAACAGAACTAAACCGCTTACCGGAAAGAGAGTGCTGAAAACTGTTCATTCGAATTGACAGAACACCGACATATCTTCGCATATGAGGATCCAAACTGATGGAGTGGCGAAATGCAAGAAAAAGAAAAGGTGTACTGATGGCTCCAAGAGGGAGAATGAACCGTGGAAGCCGACGGAGAATAGTAAGATCCCGGCGGATAGGCCTATAAAGATGATTGACGATGATAGGGATGAAGTGAATTCAATCCCGGCATCAGAGATATTCCGAGTGAAAATGTTATCTCCGTTGAAATCGCCTCTGAGAAGAGATGAATTTCTGGAATCTCAGAAAATTATTTCGACAGATATGAGTAACACGAATGCTTAAATGGGACGTTCGGACATGACTGAAGGTCTACCACCGATTCAGAAATATTACTCGGGCAACTTCGTATCTTAATTACATTTTTTGCCCACTTTCCCTCGACTATGATGCCAACATTCCCTGGACTATGATGCCGACTTTCTCTGGACTATCCACAGAGATAAAACTCGGAAAATGCTGACACCTCTTTTATTCCGAACGTTATCTTTGTTTATTGATGACTATGCTTTTAAACCAAACTTTATCTGCATGAACGTGCTTAGATATAATTCATCATGTTATTCATCATTGCTTACTAATATTTTATTCCAGAATATTCTTTGATGACAACTATTACGCATAGCATTCTCATAATATAAATACTATGACTTATGTATTGTAGTTAGTTCAGCTTTCACTTCAGTTACAACACGTTGTTACCTGCTATCTATTAAATAAAACAACACATAGTAAGAATCGAACTATTCTTTAAGCCGCGGTCAGACTATGCTGTTTAGCAGCCGCTACTAACCAGCCGCTGGTAATATTGCCAGCAAGCAGCCTAGTCTGACCCAGAACCAGCGGCTGGTGAATGCCAGCGGACTAGCCACAATCGGAAGTTGAACATGTTTAACTTTTTAGCGCTGCCTACCATCCGCAGGCAGTCACGTGATCTCCTCGCTGGCGCCAGCCAGCCAATGTGAACCCCTAGTAGCTCACAAGCGGCTGGTGAATTAACACGTGTCTAGTTAAAAGAAGTGTTGGTTTTCTATATTTTTCTATTCTACTGTATTTTCTATTCATTTTTTCCAGTGAATATGGTCGACAGTAACAAGTGGTCGGGTAAAGATATAATTACTTTCCTAGATATATTCCAAAATTATCCTTGTCTGTGGGACGCTTCGTGTGCAGACTATATCAACAGAAATGCCAAAGACTCAGCATATAAGGAGTTATTGCAGAAACTTGAAGAACGAGGACTGAAAGTAGATTTGGCCCCACTGAAGAAAAAAATAAAAAGTTTGAGAGATACTTATCGAAATGAAGTGTACAAAATAAAAAAGTCAAAGAAGAGTGGTGCGGGAGCAGATGACGTCTACAAACCTAGACTGGTGTGGTTCTCGGCAGCCCAAATGTTCTGGAGCAGTAGTATTGTTGGTCGTGACTCATCATCGAATCTGGTAAGTTTAAAATTATAGCAACATACCTTAGATTTGTGTTAAAAATATAAAACTTAAAGATTATTCTTCAAAACTAATTTTTTATTACTTGTATAAATTTGTTAACTATTACTAAAGGTTTGTTTAATATTTGACGAAATGTACACAAAACATGTCAAGTATAAGCCTATACAGGAGCAAAATATTAGGGTTTTGAAAATTCATTTGAAAATGTTAAAAGTTGCCCCTCATTTTGGCTAAAACCAATAAAAACCATTGTATGCGTCAAAGTGCCAGTTAACTGGTTAAAGTTTATTTTAGTACAAATTTAATCTTTTTAAAGTAGTCTAAAAACTAATCTAGTACGGTAATCGTGGAATTTTTAAGGTAGAGACAATTACTTTTGGAAAACATTGTTTTTCTGCAAATTAAAGTTTATTTGGGAAAATGATGTACATACAAATACTGTCAATTTTCCTAAGAAACAAACATTTCTTCGTGTATGTATCAGATAGTTCTTGGGCAAATTAGTCGCTTTCAGTACATTCATGTCCGATAGATTTCATTTGCCAAGGAACAGCCAAGGTTGTTGTAAACTCCTGGGTGAACCACTCTCGCACGTCATTTCCTTCTTGTTTGTAGTTGTTGGATGCATACAGTCTTTGTAATGGAGACATAGTGTTAGGGTCTTGGCGCCATTCACCTGGGTTTATAACTCCTGTCATCAAGTCCTCTTCATCAACTGATCCTGGGGTCATATACGTCTGTGATGATGTCATTCTTAACCAGTTGTGCAGACCACAACTTACTTTTACAAGAATTTCCACTGTACCCACGTCCAATGGAATAGGTCTGCTGAATATGCGGAAACGGCTGGCCAAGATACCAAAGGCGTTTTCAGCAACACGCCTAGCTCGAGATAGTCTGTAATTGAAAATTTGCTCTTCCACAGAGAGACCTCTATGTGAATATGGTTTCAACATGTAAGACGTGAGACAAAATGCATCATCGGCAACGCAAAGTCCTCCTATAGGCCAGTTTAAAAGGTTTCTCTCAAGAGCAATTTTCAAAGTGGAATTGTTGTAAATGGTACTATCATTAGATCGGCCATCACATCCAACGTCAATATATCTGAAGCAGTATTCTGCATCCACCATGGCAAATAAAACAATACTATATGTCCCCTTGTAGTTATAAAATAGAGAAGTGCTGTTTGGAGGTCGTTGAATTCTGATATGTTTTCCGTCCAGTGCCCCACAGCAATCAGGAAAGTTCCACTTACATTCAAACGACTTTTGAATTTGTTTCCATTCAGCTATTCTATCAGGTACCTGAAATAGAACGTACAAAAGTAACAATTGTAATTTTCTTAAATGTACAGGGGGTTCCGTAAAAGTANTCCTAACTCTCCTGTAAGAAAATATCCCTTGCTCGTTTTTTCAGAAAAGGTCAATTATTTTCTATTTGATAAGCTAACTACATATACAAATAGGAGTAAATAATGTACCTACTACTGTACCTTGATAAACTGCTGTAAAACCTCGTAAATGCTGCTCAACACTTCTGGAACGAACACTGAAATTGAGTTATGAGGAACTCTAAACAGGTAGGCCAAAGACTTGTAACTGTCTCCAGTTGCTAGATAACGTAAAGTTATTTCTAGTTTTGTTTTACTTGGAATAGCCTGACGGAATTTGGTGTCTTTTTTCTGGATAAGCGGAGTGACTAACTCTAATAGCTCTTTAAATTTTGGAACTGACATTCCTAAAATGTTTGCATAAGATGACGGATCTTCCAATTCTAGTTCCTTAAAAAGTCTTGCTGATGCCCCCAGATCGTTTCTTCTTAATATCCAGGATCTAACCCACCATCGCCTTTTCTTCCGTTTCAACATCTGTTCACACAACTCTTTTATTCCAAAATTTAACACACGTCTCAGAACTTCACGACGCACACCAATAGATGACATGATGCACACAACACACCACACACGATGTTTTCAAGTCACCAACATCAACTGTACTAGCGGCTAGTTACCTTAAATGTGAACCCCTCAGATCCGCTGGCTGATGGCGATATTTACCAGCGGCTGGTTAGTAGCGGCTGCTAAACAGCATAGTCTGACCGCGGCTTATCTATCACAATGCACTGCTACCGTACCGTCAGTCAGCGTTGCCGTTTGGGTACAATTGTACCCAAATGGGCACATTTTTTTGCTCATGGTACAAAAGTACATTTTAGGCAAAATAACCTTAAATTTGGTACATTTTGCATTATTGAATTGCCTTATGCACATTTAACAAATATTCTTAGTACAAATTTACATTTTATATTTACCATTAAAATAAGTTAAGGTAATAAAAAAATCATCACACATAACCGCGATTCAACCGACATCTGTTGGCTCTTGGCACTTGGCAGTATTAAGTCCGCGGCAGAAATTGCCCCTATCTTCTGTCTTGTAGATAAATGCACTAGTGCCACTAGTCGGTAATTCCCCGATAACCGATGAATCTAGGGACTTTATCGAAACGAAAGGCGATATGAACTAAACTATAATTGGATTGGATATTGTGGAATATGTTATTGTACTGTGTACTCTACTGTTCCAGTATAGTTTAGTTTTAGTGTATTACTAATTGTGTTTTCTCATATAAAAATAATGGATAGGTAAGTGATTGATAAATAAATTGAAATATTTTAAACATACATGTTTAAAAAGAAAATGAATAATGAGTCATGTAGCATTTTTTATTTTTGCTTAATTCTAGATTTATTGCAGTAGCGTAGTTTGGGTTTTTTTCAACATTTTTGCGAAAACTCGTGCGAAAATTAAAAACATTTAGAAAATAATTCATGTTTGAGTAATTTTTGAAAACTTCAAACTGCCATAACTGGGTGGACCGATTTTGGTAAATGGAACGTCAACGGCTGTGTCATAAGAAGATGCATTTTTTTTCTAATACACCATTCTCAATTTAACAACCCAGTTCGTTAATATAACTAAGATGTCAATTGAAAGTCTGGTTTATGGTAATGTTTTGGCAAAAATTCGTTGACGTCGCCAGTCGTCGTTAAATCGATGAACTATTTTTCTGAAATTATCTGGCTTCTAAAACACATTTTTAAGTATTTGAATCATCGAAATTGGAGGGTTTTAGCCGTTAGACATTTTTTCAAAATAATATCGAAAAAAATCATTTGTTAGTAATTCTTGAAGATTTTAAACAGTCATAATTCGATTATTTAACGGACAGGTTTTCATCGCCGGAATTTTAATTATTAGATCCTCGTTTCGCTTGTCGCAGCCCTTTTTCATATGCCCAGGCTCGGGGCCTTGGGCCTTTCTGCCCCCACCGGCTCCCCAATCTACGCCACTCAATTATTACCCATTTGTGTCTTTCATTAAAAAACGACTATTTTAAATGTACAACTATAACGACTGTAATGTATTTTTAGGTACATGAAACGATCTAAAAAACAAGAAAATATAGATACTCTTACGGCGACGCCATCGACTTCAAAAACACAACAGACCATCCCGGCCAGCCCTACATCATCAGCATCAGCGTCAACAGCGACTATACCAAGAACTTCATCATTATTGTCCGAATCGCTGCCTCCTTCGTCATTGTCGTCCACAGCAAGCAAGAATACTGACACTGACAGTGGAGACTATTCTTCATCAAACGAAGAAAGAAATGTCAGAGAAAAGAAAACAGAACACAAAAAAATATACGTACGTAATTACTCCAAACAGTGGGAAGTTGAATTCAAATGGTGTCAACAAGCTACAAACAGCAATTTTCCCTTCTGCAAAATTTGCAACAAAGAAATAAGAGGTAATCGTTCTCATTTATTGCGACACGAAAACAATGAATTACACAAAAAAAATATACGGGTTAAGTCAAATATAGTACCAATTGGGGGGGTTTTGAAAAAAACTGAACTAAAAAACGAAAATCTAATTAAGGAAGGGGAGTTCAAATTAGCTGCCTTCGTGGCAGAGCATGATTTATCCTTTAATGTTATGGAACATTTACCAAATTTGATCAAATCTATTTGTAAAGATTCTGAAATTGCTTCTGGTAAAAAATGTAGCAGAACAAAAACTACGGGTATTATAAACAATAGTATGGGACCCTATATTTTAAAAGAGATTGTGAAAGATTTGGATAAATCATTTTATTCTATAATTATTGATGAGACAACCGATGTCTCAACAAAAAAATGTTTGGCAATTTTAATCCGATATTTTAAAAATAATAGAGTTATAGATGCTTTCATAGGGTTGTTAGAGTTAGAAAATGATAGCACAGCTGCAAATATTTTTTAAAACTTTGATTAATTACTTGGAATCACTTAATATCTACATCCAAAATATGACTGGATTTGCAGCTGATAACTGTTCTACAATGATGGGGCATTTAACAGGGGTTCAAGCTTTACTAAAAAAAAGAATTCCTAATTTAGTAGTGGTAGGATGCAGTTCCCATTCCTTTCATTTGTGTTCTTCATATGCATGTTCGCATATACCTACATCACTTGAAGATTTAATTAGAGGCATTTACTCACACTTTTCACATAGCTCTAAGCGTTTAAATACATTAAAGGAATTTCAAAATTTTTGTGAACTGAAACCACACAAAATTCTAAGACCTTCTGAAACTAGATGGCTTTCTAAGCAACAGGTCGTCGACAGAATTTTAGAACAATATGATGCTTTAATTTTATACTTTACCAATGCAGCATTTGAAGAAAAATCTGCGAAAATAGACAGTATATTGGCTGCTTTGAAATACAATATAAATAAAATGTATTTATACTTTTTATCATATGTACTGCAAATAATAAATACCATCAATATTGAATTTCAAAGCGAAAAACCAAGATTGCATCAATTATTACCAAGAGTATAACCACTTTTCAGTAAACTATATTTATTATAATAAACTGTTTCCAAAAACTTCACTCTTCTTTTACGAGCTACACACTTTCATCGGCAGTTCGTCAGGGAATCCGGTGATTCATTATTTATTCCAGCTCGACATGTATGTTTTGGGGTTAAACATCCCTTTAGCTGCATTCAATCAGACATCAGATTATGTAAATGTTGACGCCATGTATGCGCTCGCTGACCCGAACTCGTATAAAACGAAAATGTCATTTCGGAAATATCAATTCGAAATATCAAATTTATCGACGCAAAACACCAGTGCCTGTTATAGTTTATAGCAAGCCTCTATGAAAACTATTCATATTTATGGTCGGAATTTGATATATCACAAATGACTTGCTAATGATCATATTATCATATAAATAACTCATCTATTGATGGCGGTTATAAGCGTAACATTGCTATCTATGATAATGACAATGAATTGAATGCAATGAGTGGAACGAAAAAACTAAATGATTATAGTTATATACAGGGTGGCCCACCACATTCGCCTCGGTATTTCTACGAGAAATTAATAGAGTTAGGGAAAACTTTTAGCACAGGTATATGTGGGTCTATGAAGAGCATATTCCAGAATCATTTTGGAACATACAGGGTGATTCCCAAAAAAGTTACATATCAAAGTTATATTTTTTCTCATGAAACACCCTATATTTTTTTTATAATTTTAGATACCATAGATAAAATAAAGGTGAGTTACTACTATATTTCTCATACTTGAAACTGACCGTTTCTGAGAAATTTCGAGAAATTTAAAAATACAGAACATAAATTAGAAATTGTTTTCACTCTGTAACATGTAACAAGCTACTCGTGATTAAATTTACTGCTTAGCTCAAAGGTTAAAGTTGACTACTAGGCAACTACCAGGTAACCCTAATATAGTTCTGAAGAAAATCTACTTTTGCGTCAAATTACTCCACCAAATACGGGATGTTCCATTCAACTTTGAGAAGTTATTCAATTAAATGTGTGTCCAAATTTTGAGGCAATTTTTTTCGCCACTCGGAATAATATTGCATTAAAAATTTCATGTGGTAGTCAACTTCAACCTTCGTGCTAAGCATCACATTTAATCACGAACAACTCGCTATACGTTACAGGGTGAAAACGATTTTTAAATTATGGTCTGTATTTTCAAATTTCTCTTCAATTTCTCAGAAACCGTTAGTTTGAAGTATGGAAAATATAAGAGAAACCCATCTTCAATTTGTCTATAGTATACAAAAACATAAAAAAAATTAAGAGTGTTCTACAGTGTGACCCATTTTTAATGGAAACACCCCCCTAAAATTTGAAGTTGTGAACCGATTTTAATAATTTTTTTTTGAAATGTCAAGTACTGAAAGGTCTACCTAGGGACAAAATTTGAAATGTTTATTGAAGGGCAGTCTACGATATTTTTTCTTAGTCTAAAATCGGGATTTTTTATTAGCGATTTTTTTATTGAAAAAATCACTACGCCACTGGATTCAGAGTGCCTCTAAACAGGTGTGACCATAATGATGATGAAAAAATATTCATTATCAACAAAGTTATGACAACTCAAAAATTCGAAAACTCACTCAGCTAACAGTCACAAAAAACACCCTATATCAACAAGTATAGCCATGAGAATATTTTTTTATGATTTCAACAATGAAGTGCCGCCAGATGAAAAAAAAACAAATAGTGTAGATATTTTTAATGAAAATAACGGAATTACATTCAAGTTCTCACGCAAATTAACTAAAACTAAGACCTAATATTTCAATTAGTTGCCATGGAAATGATATTACGGTTTGACACTTGTGAAAGATTTAAGTGTACTATTGTCAACAATATTCACTTCACAGTTCTTCGAATTATTTTGTGTCATGGCTGCAAGATTGAGCGGAAGAGAGAAAATTGAAATTGTACGCCTTTCGGGAGATGACGTTAGAAGTGCTAGAGAGGTTTGTAGAGTATTTAATGAGAGACATCCAGATCGTCCTTGTATTAGCTGCGGTACGGTAAATAAAATAAATAAAATATTCAATAAAACTGGTGCAGTATCAAAAATGATGTTAAAAAGTAATCCTGTACAAAGACGAAACAGGAATGACAGAAATGATCAAATCATTTTAGATTATTTCGAAAATAATCCTAATGCCAATATTAGGAATGCCACTTCAGATTTGAATATTC